AAAATGGTTAGTTCGCCCACACTTAAAACATCCCTTACTAATGTTGCTGCTTTTGCCACTGTCCTTCTGCTTGAACACGGTATGATTTGCTTTTGAGGGCTGAGACTGTTGATCCTTCGAGTTTTTTTTATTACTGAATAGTTGCTGAGTTTCTTTGGCAAGGTTTTCTTCCGTTTCCTCCTCTAGTGCATATGCCAAAGCTTCCCTGAGGTTCTTGGGACCTCTAGCTTTAAGGAGAATTCGATACGATTCTGGCATCCCACTTATAAACGCGTTGAGTATCTGATTGCGCAATAGCTTATCAATATCCTCCCCATTTATGTAGTCTCCACTTTCCATGGCTGCATCGATTAAATCGTGCATGAGTTGCTCCATCTTATCATGATAATCTTGTACCCCTTCACCTGAACTCATTTTGCATGTGAGCATCTTCATCTGTAATTGTGGTAGCAATTTCTTCTTGTCTGACATTTCGACGATCGCTTTCCGGAAATCCCGATAATTCTCGATTTCTTTATACCTGATTGCCCGTAACGCTCTCCCGGACAGTTTAACAGTCATCCCTTGCACCAATAAGCTGATTTGTCCTGGGTCAATGATTCTGACTGCAAAATCACATGCCCTAAGAAATCGATGTACCTCTTCTGAACTTGTCCCATCGAAAACTGGTAGTAACCTGAGTGCTTGTTCTACGCTCGTAGAGGATCTATTGACATTTGGTCCTGAGCCCACTTGGCTTGAATCATCTGTTGATACTGATGCTTGAGTACCGTCCATTTTCCCGTAAACTTGTGTTATTGTTGAGTCCTGTAAATTTAGTCTCGAGCCCAGAGGACTTGAGCTGACTTTCTGCCTTAGATTTTCAAAATCTCTGGAACTATTCGGATTTCTTGAAATGCCACGTTGCTCTGGAAGTTCTGAGTATTGTTGATTTTCTGAGAGTTCTGAAAGTTGTTGATTTTCTGGATTCTCTGTGTTTTGTTGATGCTCTGGAGGTTCTGAGTATTGTTGATTTTCTGAAAGTTCTGAAAGTTGTTGATTTTCTGGATTCTCTGTGTTTTGTTGATGCTCTGGAGGCTCTGAATTTTGTTGATTTTCTGTATGCTCTGAATGTTGGATTGGTTGAGGTTCTGTGTGTGGCTTGGTCCTTTGACTTCTTAGTAAATACCTAGTTGACCCTAACAGTTCGTCCGTTCGGTCTATTGTATCCCCTGCCCTTCGTAGGACACCACTAATTGGTACATACAATTCTCCACTAGACGACCCACTACTAAAGCTGTCCAAATCTATTAAATCTCCATCAATGCCATCATTTGACCCTGAGTTCGACATGCACTAGCTAAAAGGCCCGATTATTAGATAGATAAATTAAATAAACTGAAGCTAATTATTATTTTTTTTTTTAAAGAAAATCCCAACAATAGAATATTCCAATACATTAATAAATCCCACTAAATTAGGATTAACTCCCTTTTTGAAAAATTAGCAAGACAATCCTAGCAATACTAGATAACTTGAAAAAGAATACTAATAATAATTATTATGCTAAAGAAATAAGTACCAGATAATTTAATTGCCCCAAGTAATTATAAATAAAAACTTACGAAACGATGTATAGTAAATACTGTTGCATTATGATGGTGTTGATACTCGATTGTTATTGTTTACCGCGTGAATATAATTGAATTGCTCCACTGACCCACTGCCTGGCGACGTTGACTTTGCCCCTACTTGTGCGGCGACGGCGCGTACTGGAACGAAGACTCCTCCCTGACGGTGACACTGTGTAACACGGCGGCGGCAACGACGACGAAGGCGACCGAAATCTCCCCGTAAATGTGCTCGGAGCGCTGTCTCGTATTGTGACGTAGTAACAGGTTGTCCCGGCGGCGGCGGCGGCGACGACGGCGACGACGACGACAAAGGTCGTCTTTGTCGGTGTGTGCGGAGCGCTGTTTCACAGCTACTACGTACCGGCGGCGGCGCGTATGATATTAAGAATATTATATACGACACTCAACCACGAATATAATGGCGCCGCGTATTGATCGAATTAACACTATTTTATAAATCGTATGAACAACGTGAACGGGTTGCCTAAACGGCGGCGCGGGACGATGATGCCGACGCGCTCGTCCGTTGATATAAAGTATATAGATGTATATAAAATACGCCCACGTATATATTTATATATTACACCCCATCGATCGGATGTATAATATGACACGCCGTTACGACAATGCTGGCGGCGGTGTGTTTAATATCAAAATGACAATATATTAAACTATATTATATATAATATGTGCGCTATATATACCTCTGGTGGACACCCGTGCTTCCAAATACTGAACGAATTATTGTATAGATTTTCCGTACCGTTTTTTTTTTTTTTTTCCTTGTGATTTTCTGACACCAAAACCAGTTGAACCCAGACGGCGGTAGTTCACATAAGTTCTTTAGCGATCTCCAAAATTGCACTGTCGCAAAATGAATTGCGACAATTTTTCCCTTTTAGAGATCCCACCGCTGCCACCAATGAAGTGTGGTCCACCGTCGAATGATGTAAAACCGTAGGTGTTGGCATCAAATAAAATAACACACAGTTTGCTTATAAATAAGATTACCGATTTATTGTATTGAACACTAAAGAATTAATGTATATAATGATAAAACTATTACTGATTTAATAAATTAAATATTGAAGAACTGATATATATAATATAAAAACTATTATTATGAGAGGTTCTGATAAAAATTATATGAGGCTCTGTAATAAACTATAAAGGATGCTCTGCTTAGTAACACGTGTGTTACTCACTCTTTTGACCAGACTCGACTGACTCTAGCTGGCGGGGCTGTCCCCATGGTCTGTCCCGAGCCTTTCGGAATGTGTTCGCTCAGCGTCTCGTAGGCGTCGCGTAGGCGTCCGTGAGAACCAGACAGTTCTCATACACGCACTACTCGCCACTAGACTGAGTCAATCCATTCATACTTATCATGTTACCCGTTTACAACAAATGTTACAAGAACAATGATAAAAATAAAATCGAATCTACAATGTGGCTGGACTTGTTTTTAGAGAGTCGGGTCGGTCGGTTAGCACCCACAACAAATATTATTGCTAACACATATTGTGATGTGGTGTGAGTTATTAGAAAATAGTTAAGACTCGATAGAGAGCAATATTATAGAATAAATCAATTATTTTGAGTTAGGTTAGTCTAATATTCCTTTTTTTCAACGTCTAGAGTATTTCCATTACTTACAAATGTTATACTTACCCTAAACTGTAAATCTATTATTTATATTATATAATAACCATACCACGAAACTTCAGTTAATGTTAATGAGAATTCACTGTCCGAATTTCGATATAATTGTTGAATAACAATTGTGGGCATTCCTATTTCCATGCCCAATCCAATTAATAGAAAGTTCTGCGCTGTTGTAGCGAAAATCTGCGTTATTTAATTGCAGTTGTTTTAGTTTGTTTTATATTTTAAAAAAGGTTTGTATACATATATTATAATGTGATACCAACTTATGCCTGCCACCGTAGCCTTTGGGCCGTAGGTTTTGGGAGTATTGTCCATGTTATTTTCATTGTTATCACTTATTAGACATTGGTGACTCGCCTAAGTAGAACTACAAATTACAATAATTTAAAAAAATGTTTGCTAGGTTATCTAGCCTATAGGTGTATACGCGTACGTCTAAGTTTTAGAGTAAAATCAACCGTCGATAATAACTATAAAATGTCGGTTTTTCCAGTCAGACAGTATCGCGGACACATGTAATTTTTTTTTTTATTAAATAAAATTAATTTATTATAAATTATATAGAGCTCAAAAGAACAAGTTTATAAGAATTTAATAAGATGAATCTATCTACCACCTGTAAGCAAGCTTGTAATGATGGTAGAGAGCTACAAAATCTAGTAATTAATATAATAATCGATGCCTGCAGCTTATAGGCACTCGTACTTTCCCTTATTTTTTAATGTCATTATGAAATCTAACATTTCCTGTTTGTGACGCTTTGAGATTTGTTTTTAGTATATATTTTAAATAATAACTGTTCGAAACATATCATAAAATAAGCATAACACCTGTTTCGAGGAAATATCTAGCCTGAAATGGAAAAAAATATGGAATAAACGAGAAAGTAACGAAATTCTTAAATTAAATAATATTATAATAAATTGTACGCAATTTGATTAATACGAAGACGATGCAAAGCGAATAATTTTCATCTAAATCTTTAACTAAATTACCATAAATTATCATCTATTTTCTTTGTCTAGCACTTCACAAAGTTAGGAAAGTGTGAAATTTCTTCCTAGAAACCCACATAATCTCTAAATCCAAATTATTTTAAACTAAGATCACTTTTATATATGTGGGATTTCAGCACTAGATGTCGCCCTGGTGCGTAGAGTGTGTGTGGTACGAGCAGTAAGAGTAGAGTACTAGAGTCTGTGTTGTACTGTTGTTGGAAAAGTGCGTGTGCATTGTGCTGTGATGTAATTTTTCTGTTGTAGTTAATAATCTGTTAAGTGTGTTATACGAATAAAATAATAAAGTAATGATATCAAATAAACGCGCTATATTTATTTACTGTTAATCGGTCACCCCAAATCCCACATAGACTTTGGGGGCCTGTCCGGGATCGGGGTCGTGACTGTGACACTCGTAATTTAATACTATATACAATAGTCGCGCCACGTTGTGAATTTGGAATAAGGAATTTGTAAAGTTGTGATTCGTAAGTACTAATTTTGTGTCTTTAAAGAAGGAAAATCGAGTTAGCCGGTTGTCTGTCACGAGGTTTGAAATTTCTAACGTAAATTCGTTACGTAACTATCATAACCTCAGTTACCAGTTACCACTCTACGAAATTCGGTATTTGACAGCTGCAGCTGGCATCATTGCGTAACTGGTGATAACAACGTCGTTCCGAAGTTCCATCGATAAATATTTGTGTGATTAGAATTGATAAGCATGCCTAGACTCAAGGCAAAAAAGAGGCAGTCAACGTCAAGTGGATTTCAAGGGAATGATGATACGGTGATTAACGAAAGCGCCGGAAGCTCAAGAACGATAAACTTTCGTGATGTGCAAGAATCACTGTACCCCTTCAGTGGCGACGATTCATACTCCGTCGAGAAATGGGTCGCGGACGTTGAAGAAATGGCCGAGGTCTGTGGATGGACCAGTCTCGAAATATTCATTTACGGTAAGCGCCTACTTCAAGGAACTGCAATGTTGTTTATCCGCGCCGAGTGTGGTATTAAGTCCTGGGAAACATTGCGAGATCGTCTGAGAAATGAATTTAGAAACAGATTGACGGCTGCTGATGTGCATAGACAATTAGCTGCACAAACTAGGCAAGAAGGTGAGACGCTTATGCAATTTTTGTACCGAATGAGAGAACTGGCTATGCAGGGTTCGGTGCAAGACGATTCCCTAATTGATTATGTTATATCTGGCATTCAAGATTCCGAAGTGAATAAGACTGTACTCTATGGGGCCACCAACATCGTAGAGTTTAAGCGGAAATTAGAGGTATATGGTGTGATAAACCAGCGAATATTGGTTGAAGCTAAGAATAATATTAAACCACATGGACGCCGTTCCGAGCCGTATAATCAGCTTAGACCTTCACAGCCAGTTGATAAGTCTTTACTGCGCTGCTATACGTGTGGGGTCAAGGGACATCTGTCTCCAGACTGCCCAGATGCAGCTAAGGGCATCAAATGTTTTGCCTGCCAGTCGCATGGACATCGAGCAGCCGATTGCCCAAATGCAGGTCGGCGAAATGAGGACGGGCCACAGATGTATCAAGTTAATAGTTTGCCAGCTGATAACCGAATTTTTAAGTTGGTCAAAGTCCAGGGTGTGGATACAGCTGCACTGATAGATACTGGTTGTGATATGAATATCTGTCGCCGTTCATTCATGATGTTGTTATCTCAAGAATCAGCAGTATCTGCCAAAGTCAGGTTGAGTGGACCAGCTGGTTCCTCATTTTACACCGAAAAAATGTGTGCTGTAGATTTGTCCGTGGATGGAAATACGTATCACATAGACTTATATTCTGTGTCGGATGATGATATTTTGTGTGACTTGATTATAGGGAGACATCTATTCCAAACGAAGGCTGAGTTGCGTGTTGGACCTAAGTTAATCGAGATATCCAGGGTACCTGAACAAAGAATAATGGCCATCGAGACCTGTATGGACGAATTGGATGTGGGGCTTCGGGGCAGTGTTGTTACAATTGGAAAACGATGGCGAGCTCCACCCAGTTTATTTTATGAGCAAAAAAACAACTGATCCACAACAGAAGTACCACAGCTACGAGCTGGAGGTGTTGGCCATTGTAGAGGCAATAAAGAAGTTCAGGTCATATCTCCTTGGGTTGCAATTCAAAATAGTGACAGATTGTGCAGCTTTCACGAAGACACTGGAGAAAAAAGAACTAGCCACTCGGGTGGCTAGGTGGGCATTGTTACTATCTGAATATGACTATAAAATAGAACACCGGGCCGGGTCAAGGATGCCCCATGTGGATTCCTTGAGCCGGTATCCTGTGTGTATGGCTATAAAAAGTGAGCTATTAGCAAGGTTAGTGAGCGCTCAAGAGGCTGACCCTGAACTGTCAACATTAAAGTTAGAGTCACAGCGGGACAACAGAGATGATTTCAGTGTGGAAGGCGGGATTACTTTATGAACTAAAAGGTAGTAAAAAGTTATTAGTTGTACCTAGGGCCATGTGTCGGGAGATTATTCAAGATATCCATAAAATAGGACACTTAGGTGTTAAAAGGACTGAAGAGCTGCTTAGTCAGGAATATTCCATAGCTGATGTCTCTAACAAGATTAAAGAAGTTATAAGAAATTGTGTACCATGTATACTGATGAATCGGAAACAGGGAAAGCAGGAGGGACTCCTAAACTGTATTGATAAAGGGGAATCGCCGTTGTCGACTTGGCATCTGGACTTCATGGGACCATTGACTAGGACCGCCAAGGGTTATAATCATATTCTTGCCGTTGTGGACGCTTTTACTAAGTTTTGCTGGCTCTTTTCAACTAAAAGCACCACCGCATATGAAGTTATAACAAAATTGACTACATTGGAAACCACATTTGGTAACCCAGAACGAATAGTGACGGATCGAGGTGCAGCTTTCACTTCATTGAGCTTTGAGAGTTATTGTGAAGACCGAGGAATCCGTCATGTACTCATAACGGCAGGTATGCCACGTGGAAATGGGCAAGTTGAGCGTTTGAATGCTACTATTGCTAACATCTTAGCGAAATTGAGCATTGATAATCCTGATAGATGGTGGCAGTATCTACATCGGGTCCAAATGGCGTTGAACAGTTCATTCCAGAGAAGTATTGGGATGACACCTTTTCAGCTAACATTTGGAGTTGAGATGAAGCATCCAGAGAATGTACAATTTAGGAAAATAGTGGAGCAAGAATATGTGCAATGCCATGTAGAACAACATCAAGAAGTGATACGGGAGGCCAAGAGCAATATATTAAAGGCACAATTAGAACAGCAAAAGACATACAACAAAAAAAGAAAAGAAGCGACACAGTATGGGCCAGGTGATTTGGTAGCTATTAAACGAACCCAATTCCTGCCTACTTCAAAGTTATGTCCTAAATATCTGGGTCCATACTGCGTAACCAGGCGCGCCGGACCCAACAGATATGATGTAAGGAAAATAGGCACTGGGGAAGGCCCAGTGAAGACTTCAACGGGCTCAGATTATATGAAGAAGTGGAAGGAGAATCCCAAAGAAGATGAGTTGTCATCCGAGATAGATGTCATTCAAGAAGATGAGTTGTCATCCGAGATGGATGTCATTCAAGAAGATGAGTTGTTATCCGAGGCGGATGTCATTAAAGAAGGGGAGAATGTGGGATTTCAGCACTAGATGTCGCCCTGGTGCGTAGAGTGTGTGTGGTACGAGCAGTAAGAGTAGAGTACTAGAGTCTGTGTTGTACTGTTGTTGGAAAAGTGCGTGTGCATTGTGCTGTGATGTAATTTTTCTGTTGTAGTTAATAATCTGTTAAGTGTGTTATACGAATAAAATAATAAAGTAATGATATCAAATAAACGCGCTATATTTATTTACTGTTAATCGGTCACCCCAAATCCCACATATATGTAAAAAATTACTGCAATTTTTTATTGCAACTATTAGTACCACACGATTCATGATGACAAAGATGTGCATAAATTTCCTCACCACCATTTGCTTGTTAAACGTAAGACATTACATCGTCCATGTTGTTTAAACGCAAGAGGTATTATACGTGGCGCGTTTTTTTTATTGTGGTGTCCCCGGTAGGCATAGTCCACATTTTAAGAAAGTCTTTTACAGTAAGCTGTGTGGGTGACATTAATGATTTTATAATAAATAGCTTGGCTGTGAAATATTAAGCACCTAATGGGAATATCTAGCCTCTAATGGAAAATGTATGAATTATCACGCGAATCACACTTCTTTAGCACACCTAGCGTCGTCATTGAACCACACGTCGTCAAGGCACCATACGTCGTCAGCGAACCGAACGTCCTGAGCGCAACGGCACGTCGTCAGCGATCCGCACGTCGTCAGCGAACCGCCAGTTACGCAGCGAACCGCATGTCGTCAGCGAACCGCACGAAGTCGGCTGCAGCGCACCGTGTGTCCAATCCCGGATTATGGGAGGGGGGTCAAGGGGTGCACGGTCTCAGGGCCCATTGGTTTTGGGGACCCATCTGTTTCCCCAATATATATTTCAAATACAGTTTTCAAAAAAAAAAAATTATTGAAGTAGGTAAGTATAGCAGGTAAATTATTATTAATAACAAAATTATAAAATAAAATTGTTCTCCATTTTATACCACGAAAAATTCCTATAAATAATGAATTATGTTTGCCAAAAAATATGTTTTTTTTTTTTTTTCGAGCATTTTAGGTTGCCGATTTAAATATTTAAGTATACAAAAGGGTAGTTATAAGAAAAAAATATTTAGCTCTTAATAAATTAGGTATTTCAGTTACAAGTATTAATGCATATTAAACTAAACTTTAATGAACCATAGTCTAAAATAACCTAACGAACCAAAATTTATCATTTTACTGTCAAAATATTCAGAAAAAAGTTTTACCAGAATCCATCGAAAAATATAGTGGTTACCATTTGAAAAAATAAAGACGATTTTATTATTGATACAACTGCGTGTTTATAAATTTTGAAAATGTTGTGAAAAAATTGCCTGTTAAAAAAAAACACGTAACACGTAACACTTCTTTTTTTGTTTTAAGGAAATTCCATATCATTGATTCATAATTGTTAAAAAAAAAACACGTTCAATGACATATGATACACGCTGTATATTTGTTGTATAGTAAAAAATTATACAGTAATATAAATTCGTAATTGTAATGATACAATTATTTTTAATTTAAAGTTGAAAGGGGGCCCACTAAGTGTATAGGTGTCATGGGGCCCAATCGATCCTTAATCCGGGCTTGCATGCGTTGTTGGAAAACCACACGTTACGTCAGCGAACCGCACGTCGTCAGCGAACCACACGTCGTCAGCGCACCGCACGTCGTCAGCGAACCGCCCGTTAACGCAGAGAACGGCACGTCGTCAGCGAACCGCACGTACGTCAACGACGAGCACGTCGTAACAAACCACACGTGCGTCAAAGAACTACACTTCGTTATCAATCCGCTCATCAAGACCGCTAGGATGCCATCGGCACAATCCCAATCTTTACATGGAAATTATCGAAGATTTTATGGGAAATGTATGCTATTCTATGAAACATCAATCCACTAACGGAAAATACATTAATTAAATAGTCGGCTAATGTCAAGGCAGTTTTAGAAAACGTTACCATATTGTTACACTGAGACAGATTATGGCTAAATTTTATAAATTTGATAAAGAACTGCAACTGAAAACTGAAATTTGATTAAGAATCTTTATAGACTATAAAAAAGCTTATGACTGAATTGACAAACTATGAGAAGCACTGGAAGAACTAGGCATTCCTAACAAGTAAGTAAGTCTTATAAAATGATGTAACAATAAAAATGTATTCGTAGTTCGATTCCTGCAGGAAATGTCTGATACCTTTGAGTAAAGTCAGGTCTTCTACAATGTTAATGCTTTATCATCCACTCTACTGAATCAACCATTAGACAATTAAATGATAGAAGTATGGGATGGTCGAAAAATGGAAATATTATGTAGTGAACGAGTAATATTGGCGTAAGCAGATGACGAATTGAAGTCAAAAATACTTGTCCAGACTCTTAGCAAGTAAAATTATGGGGCTAAGTAATGCAGGGCTACGTGTAAATGGGGAGAAGACGAAATATTTAATGGTAGCAAGAAAAAGCTCAAACATACACCATATTATAACAGTAAATGATTAAAATTTCAAGAAAGTGGAAGTATTTAAGTACCTAAGCATTATCATAAATAGAACAAGGACAGGTACGAATAAATCAACTATCAAATAACATGCGGCCATCGGTGCTACTATACCAAAATTAAACTTCTTAAATCAAAACTACTTTCACAGAGTCACATAACTCAAAGACACTATTTTATCATAGCCATTTACGACCAATAATCACATATACGATCGAAACATGATCACTGACTAAAGGAGACAGCCAACGGCGAATGACCTTCGAAAGAAAGGTAGGTACTGAGAAGTATATACGGTCCAAAGTTCAACGCAGAATTTCAAACTTATGAAAGCAGAAAAAAATCAAGAATAATACAAAGGCGATGGGCCGCGAACAGTATTTTTTTAATATGTCGCAGGGTACCTATACTTAAGTATGGAAAAGTATGGAAATTCTAGTCAAAACTGATTTAAAAATAAAGAAATTTAAAATAAAGAAAAGAAAATAATGGAATTTCAGTAAAAATGCTGAAATTAAATATACATTCATTGATTAAACCATTATCACACATTTTCAATTTAGCTATAACAACATCTACTATTCCGGAATGCTTTAAAATTTCAGTAATTACACCAATACACAAAAAAAGGTGACAAATCTATTATTGAAAATGATCGCCCAATCTTACAAATATAAAATATTGCCAAATCTATTGAAAAAATTATTAAAAAAGAATTAGTCCATTACCTTGAAAGTAATAATCTTCTATCATGTACCCAATTCGGGTTTGGACCCGGTAAAAGTACCGAATAAGAAATTGCAACAGTATCAAGCTATATTTATAATTCTTTCAAAAATAAAAAAAAATGTGCAACTGTTTACTTGGATCTAGCAAAAGTATTTGATACTATAGATCATAAAATATTACTACAAAATGTTAACACACTTGGTATCAATGTAAAGGCTCAGAATTTATTAAGTTCATACTTAAAAAATAGAAAACAACACGTTCGAATAAACAATGAATTAAGCTAAGAAACTTCAATAATATGTGGTGTACCTCAAGGGACAACTCTATCTCGCCTACACTGTTTAATCTACATATAAACCAAATTAATAACTTGAATACACACTGAAAACTATATAGTTATTGCTACGCAAATGATACAGTACTTTTCGTTGAAGGCCAATCCTTGGATGAAGTATTTGCTAGTGTTCAATCCGACATGAGTAAAATACAAAAATGGCTCTGGGAAAACAATTTATTCCTAAACTTAGAAAAAATCTTCATATTTCATTATTTACCACACTATATAGTTAATTCAAATCAACCAAATAAAACAAATCTATATATACATGAGAATGACCGTTTAAATCAAAATATATGTACATGCCAAACATTTGTAAAAATAGTTTTAAAAACTGTAAATACTTAGGTATAGAAATGTGTCATAATCTTAAATGGAATGACCACATAAAATGTTTAACAAATAAATTAAGAAAACTTATGTATGCACTTAAAAAATTAACGGATATCCTAGAACTTAAGACGATTAGAGTAGTGTATAAAGTATTAATAGAATCCATAATTAATTATAGTATTTCTATATGGGGAGGTACGTATGATACAACTATGGATCCATTAAAAAAAATCCAAAACAAAATACTAAAAATTATCCTAAAAAAATACTAAAAAAAGATACCACACAAAATATTTATATAATGACATGAATGTACTACCTATGAAAAAATTATTTTATAAAGCGTCGGTACTTTACATAATTAAAAATAACCTTACTTTTAAAACTGAACACGGACTTAATACTAGGCAAATATCTAATATCAAAGTACAATAACTGTGCACAAAAAATTAACACAATCCACATACCTATATATTTATCCAACAATTTTCAATATACCACCAATAGAAATGAAACACAGCAACTCTTTTAAGATTCTTAAAAAAAAATAATTACACTTTGGCTATTACAAGAACAAAATATAGACAGACTCATAACAAACGCATATGATTACTGCATTATTTATCATATTAGTTGTACGACTTTAGAAATTATTGTTAATTTTAGTTTTATATTACCATATTATATTGTATTATTTAACTACACAATTTTTACATAATACTATATTATACAAACTAATATAAACAAAGAGAAGAAAATATAATATATTATTTATATTATTTATATTATAGTTAGGTATGTGAGAAATGTATATTACAAATTGCAAATATTTAATTTATAAGAACTATTTAATGTATTTATATATCAAATTGTGAACTCATGGGCCCCCACACGTACATGTTCAGTGAGGCACATTATCATCTTGAAGAATAAATAAAAAATTAAATTTAAAAAAAAAATACCTGCGAGTAGTATTAGAAATATTAAAAAAACAAAATTATATGAAAAATAAATGAAAAAAATATATTTTGATTACAAATCCAAAAAAATTGATCTCTTTGCATTTTTAATGCAAACGTATTAATATTAAATATG